GTCGACAGTTGTGTGTACTTGTGGTAATGATTCCATTTTTGTGCTATGTTGTGATAAGGCTCGTTCTCACTTTGCTGTGTTCTCTGTGATACACATATACACATACGTATGTTTGTGTTTGTGTGTCTGTGTAGATGTATGCATGCATATTCATTTGTATATGTGTGTGTGTGTGTGTGTGTGTGTGTGTGTGTGTGTGTGTGTGTGTGTGTGTGTGTGTGTGTGTGTGTGTGTGTGTACAGTATATAGTTGCTGTGGAACTTCCACTTGGAAGCGGAGACACACCATGAAGCGCACGAACAATGTCAGAAGAAAAATAACCATTTTTCTTTCTTCTTATTCATCTTCAAAACAGAACGGCTATCTTCAAAGCAAACAGAACAGAATTCTTCTCAACAGAACAAACGTTTCGAGTATTCAACACTCATCTTCAGTGTATATATGAATTAACTGTAAAAGGATTCGTAACATTATCCTTCAGTTTACTCTCTCTCTCTCTCTCTCTCTCTCTCTCTCTCTCTCTCTCTCTCTCTATATATATATATATATATATATATATATATATATATATATATATATATATATATACAAAAATTACAAAAAAATATATCACAAGCAGAATTTTATGCCATGATGAAATTGATATACAATATAATTAAGAGCCGAAAGTTATACATTGAATCGTGGTAATAAAATGCAAAAGTTCGTAAAAAGTTATTGTATGAATGAATATCCAAAGATAAGAAGGGAATCATGACTGGTCTTAAGCTGATCAAATACTAAGCATTTCAAGAGAACTGTAATTAAACATTAAGTGAAAAGGCAAAATCAAGAGCATTACAAGATTATAAGATTATAGCAATAACCAGAATTATGACAAAGACAAGTCACAAAAATAATAATTTTCATTAAATCTAATATAAGATTCTAAAATGAGGCAATTACTTATTACAGAAAAATATTTTATAGGGAATCTTCGGGGAAGCAGAAGGTTATACATATTCATATGTTCTATTTGTATATATGTGTATGCATATATATACACAAAGACAAATATATATATTTATGTATATATATGTATGTGTATATATATAAATATATATATATATATATATATATATATATATATATATATATATATATTATATATATTATATATCAAATATACAAATATATATATATACATATATATCTACATACCTATCTATCCATCCATCTCTCTCTCTCTCTCTCTCTCTCTCTCTCTCTCTCTCTCTCTCTCTATTATATATAATATATATATATATATATATATATATATATATGTGTGTGTGTGTGTGTGTGTGTGTGTGTGTGTTGTGTGTGTGTGTGTGTGTGTGCGTGTGTGTGGTGTGTGTGTGTGTGTGTAAATGTATGCATGTGTATTCATATGTCTTCAAATTTATATCTATCTTTATGTGATTGAAAATAAAACAAAATGAAATTAAACCATTACATACTGCCTTTGAACGAGGAACACGGAGCTCTGCCACTCTAGACACTAAGACATATGACACTGTATATGTAGGGAAATGACATTAGCTGAAGGTGCAATAACATCATCTCTGGTTCCTTCAAGTTAGTCATCACAGCAGGAGGAACAGCGCTGAGTATGCTACATGGCTACGAATACGGCAGTTGCTGAGGCGGACGTATGAATATATACTGCATGTGACAATATACGTACGGGGTGGGAGAGAACTGCTCGTTACCCAGTCCTATGATGTGGACATTAAATACACCCATCCACACATTATATACGTATTTATGTATATGTATATATATATATATATATATATATATATATATATATATATATATATATATATATATATGTTTATATATGTATATATATGTGTGTATAAATACATATATACACATATATATAGACAGATAAATAGATAGATACGTAGATGCGTTATACACACACACACACACACACACACACACACACACACACACACACACACACACACACATATATATAATATATATATATATATATATATATATATATATATATATATATATGCATATATATAAACACACACACACACACACACACACATATATATATATATATATATATATATATATATAATATATATATATATTATATATATACATATATATATATAATATATATATATATATATATATATATTATATATGCATATTATGCATATATATGTGTATGTGTGTGTGTGTGTGTGTGTGTGTTTACGGTCAACTGTTATTTGCTGTGAATTTTGTTTGTACATTGATGGCTAAATGGGTGCTCAGCTGCTTAATAGATAGTTTCGGATTTTTTTTTCTTCTGTTCTATTGATATCGATGTTATTATAATCATAATTATGTATATACTATACATTATGTATATATCATAACATCATTAAGGATACAAGTTGCAATAAAAAAGGGAAAAAATATAAAGAAATGAAATGGGTAATACTGGTAATTTACTTCTTGATGATTAAGTGTGTAAAGAAACTAATAAACGAAAAAGAAAAACAGCGGGCATAGTATTTTTCCATCCTGGCTTTAGTTGGTTAATTATAACTATTTTATTATAAACTATAAAGTTTGTATGGATTCTATGACTTACCACTTGAAATGTTATTTTTCTCAGAAAAAGTAATAGTATGAACCTTACAGTCTTCTTCCAATACACTTTTCAATGTAAGGAAAGAAGGCTTATA